AGTAGAAAGCAGTTAAAAAAAAAAAAAAAAAAAAAGTCATTCTACATCAACCATTGGTGTCTACATGCTCAAACCTGGGTTCAGGCCAGGCATTCCAGTACATAAACATGCACACACATGGAATAAACACACACACACACAAAATCATACGGCATGACAGCACATATCTGTAAATGCAACATTTTGGGAGTATGAGACAGGAAGACACCATGAGTTTCAAGCCAGCCTAAGATACATACTAAACTCTAGTCCTACTTCAGCTACATAGCAAGATCCTGGCACCAAAGGGGGGCGGGGGGAGGGAAGGGAAGGGGAAGGAAGAGAAGGAGAGGGAAGGGAAGGGACGAATAAACGAAAGAACGAAAGAAGACAACATGGCCACTCTCAAAACCCTAGCACTCTTGACAACTGAGGCAGGAGAATCGTGGGTTCCAGGGTAGCATTGGCTACTTAGTGAGACTCGGTCTTCCTGGGATGAATGCCAACTGTCCTGCTCTCACTGTGGAGTCTCATGGGTCCTCACAACATTATCAATGTGCACAACATGAATGATGTGTGCCGTACACTGTGTCTCAATGCGTGTAAATAAATCATCACTTGGATGTTTTAAAAACAACAGACTATTATTCTGTGGGGTGACAGTAGAATCAATAAGACTCCCACCTGGCTGGATGCCCAACAAGGACTGACTGAGCAAGGCCAGGTTTCTCTGCAGTAGGACCCCCACCAATGTGCTGATCTATTCAACACTCAGTGGCTGTTCTAAACATTGCATACAAGTACAGGATGGAAAAACTAGGACTTGATATATAAAGTGTAAACTGCCTACAAGGATCAAGACTGCTACAATATTAAAGTAATTTCTCTCTTAAAGAGCAACTTAAGTAACAAAGCAATCTTTGAAAACGAAAGAGCAGGAAAACCTCCCTTCCAGTCAGCCTGAAGACAGACTTCCATCCCAACAGCAGTCACTATTCAATTACTAGTGTGACTGCAATCACATTACACACTAGCTTAACAGTCACAAAATCTAATTTCTCTAAATACAAGACAAACTTGTACAGCATGACAGACTTCCTGTATAGCCACACTACGGATACACTGCAGATCAGCTAATGCCTCCCACGGGCTGCCATCTCTCCTCCACCCTGTAATACACTAGCACAACTTTTCAAGTGTTTCTTTGAATGTTCATGGTTCATTAATGGGATCATTCCTCAAATTCGACTTATCTCTGATAAATATTTCAAAGACAAGTTTCTATAAACTAAGTTAAAAAATAAATGAATACAAAACAACCTAACACACAATGGCATTCCCATAAGCCTGTACAACTTTGGATATTTTTTGGATGACTGGCAAAGCATCTATCTGAAGTGACTACTGAGTCTACAGAAGATGACCAGTCACTAAGAAAGCAGAGTGCTGGGAACTTTAAAAAAAAAAAAAAAAATCAACCAGAAGTACTATTGCCTTTTCATTCAGGTGTTACATGGGCACCATGGGCCAAGGAGGTATGGGATGAATAAAGGGTTAGCCTTCATCTAACATGGCACATAAATAGGGGAAAATGAACCTACAGAAAAATGATGATCAAATATAGAATCCTGATGCTTAGACCAGGGCACTCAAGACTTCAAAGTACCCAGTCACACAGTTCCCCACTCACTGGGAATAACATGTACAGTAATACAAAATGTAAATAATTTGCCAACTGTGGTGGCACATGCCTTTAATCCCAGCACATAGGAGGCAGAGTCAAGAGGAAATTTGAGGACAGTTTGGCATATATAGCAAGCTCTAGAACAACCAGAGATAAATAGTGGACTTTGATGCAAAACAAACAAGAAAGAATGTAAATAATTCATTGAAAATGCCAGCACTCCAAAGGTAAAGGCACTTCCAGATCTCTGTAAATTCAAGGCCAGCCTAGTCTACAAGTTCCGGGCCAGTTATGGATACACAGAAAGTTCTTGAAGTAAAATAAATGTAATTTTTAAACTGGGGAAGAAAACAGCTACTAGGCAGAGGCAGAAAGACTGCTTCACCCCAACAGTCTGGGAACACTCAGCTAATACAGAAAAGAACAAGACTTTAAAAAAACATGAAGTAGCCAGGCAGTGGTGGTGCACACCTCTAAACAGAGCTCTCAGGAGGCAGAGGCAGGCAGATTTCTGAGTTTGAGGACAGCCTGTGAGTTACAGGACAGGTAGGGCTACACAGAGAAACCCTGTCTCAAAAAACAAAAAGGAAAAAAAGCAGATCATCTGTTGTTGTTCTGGTTTTTTGAGACAAGATCTCACTGTGTAGCCTTAACTGACTTGGAATTCACTATGTAAATCAGGCTGGCCTCAAGCTCATTCATATCCATCTGCCTTTGGTTCTGCCTCTGAGCACTGGGAGGCAACACCATTGCAGGCTGAGAACATCATGTTTTGGAGTAGTTTTTAATGCTTGAAGTTTCTTATCCTTCTAGAAGAGGCACAATATACACTGTACACATGTATTACAAGTATGACAGTAAGTTTCAATATTATAAGTCAAGTAACTTTCACAAATAAACCCAACAGCTGAGGGTCAAGCATTTCTATAAGCCGTGAAGGAAGGCTCAGTGGGTAGAAGGCTGTCCTTGCAGATACTCTCAGGCTGTTCATGGGCTTGTCTTCAAAGTATGAATTTACACCATCAAATGTCATATTTATGAGGACTCTAATAACATGACTGTTCAATTTTTTTTACTTTGTTTGTTTGTTTGTTTGTTTTTCAAGACAGGGTTTCTCTGTAGCTTTGGAGACTGTCCTGGAACTAGCTCTTGTAGACCTGGCTGGCCTCAAACTCACAGAGATCCGCCTGCCTCTGCCTCCTGAGCGCTAGGATTAAAGGAGTGTGACATCACCGCCCAGCTTAACATGATTGTTCTTTGAGTTAGGGTACATCACCATGAATCCTAGGCTAGCCCGCAACTCACAATGCCCTTGCCTTAAACGAATACACACACACACACGCCATGAAGTTTTGGGATTAGAGATATGTATGAACTACACACCTATTCTTTGAATCAAAATTTTCATTTTCAGAACTATATTTTACAAAAATCATATATCCACAATGCAGAAAAAGTAAGTTCAATTATTTTATAAAAGCAAAAGAATGAAAACCTAACACTTTAACCCCAAAGTAATGTTTGCTTAAAGGAAGCTGACTTGTGTCAACGAATATCCCCCATGGAGATCACCAGCAAAGAATAGGACCAATAAATAGGATTGACTTAATCAAGACAAACTCTCAAGACATTATACAGACTCTTCTTTCTCTTGCATCATACACTGGAAGTCATCCTTATACCCAACTGACTTTTCAAAACGTACATCATAAACATTTATTACTTCCTCTTCTAAGTACAGCACAATCATCTTGGGCCTGTGCTACTACAACAATGTCTAATAACCCCCCACCCCATTACACCAAGACTAAGTTCCAAAACCTCTCTGTGGAATCTCCCCAGCAGCATCACACCAGTATCTGTGCATCCTGAAGCCTCTGCAAAGACCACAGCCATCCCAGAGCCTCTGTACTACAAGTCCTTCAACCCCAGGTGCTCTTTCTCTAGAAATCATCTGTTTTGTTGTCCTTGGCAGTAAGAACCTAAATCCAGAACTGTGCGCAAGCTAGCAAGTGTCTACCAAGAAGCTCAAGTTAGCCTGAACTAGAGCTTGTCCTGCCTTAGCCTCCCCAGTACTGGCACTGCCACTCCCGGCTTTCTCGTTCCCTTAGAATGCCTTGTCAAAGAGAATTTCCTTAAGTGTGTTAGCTAAGGGAACATATCCATGCTCTACCCTTTTAGCTCACCTAATTTCTTCCAAAGCACTTAATACAGCACCTAAACTATGTAAGTCTTTATTCTGTTAAACAAAGAACACTCCCAACTCTTTGAGTTGCATGCACTTGTCTAGCATTTCTAAAACCCTAGGTTCTATTTCTAATCCTGTACAAAAACTAAACTGATTCAGAACTCAAACTTTTAATTTTATAACTTTAGATTACAACCATTTATTGACCCATTTCCCTCATTAGACTCTAAGTGACTTTACAACACAGGACTGAATGTCAGATAGCGAGTGGGAAATAATAGATAGGTTTGTCACCATGTCTTAAATGCACATCATTTTAGTAACTGAATCTTCTAACTAAAATAAACCTTCTCTTACAAATTCATCATTCAAAACATAATTCAAATCTCCGCTTGTATTCATTTAGCCAATATTTATACACATTTTATATGTAATCAGGGAGAGAAAAGAAAAAACCCTCAAATAAGAAAGGAAAATCTGTGAGTTCAAGGTCAGCCTAGTCTACAGAGCAAGTTCCAGGACAGCCAGGGAAACCCTGTCTTGAAAAACAACAACAAAAAATATTCAATAAAAAAATTAAAATCAGGGAACTGGAGAGAAGGCTCAGTGTTTGGCTGTTCTTCCAGAGGCCCCAGATTGGATTCCCAGCACCTATACAGCACAGTACAAACACCTGTAACTCCAGTCCCAGGAGATCTGATGTCCTCTTCTGACCTCCAAGGGCACTACACACAAAAGGCACACCAGCACACATGCAGCCAACACCCATACCCATAAAATAAATTACAAAATAATAATTTAAGACCAGTATAAAAAAATCAATTCCAAGGGAGGGGAAGCATAATAGTTCAGTGGTAGAGTGTCTAAGCTCCTGTGGTATGCACATAGACTTGGGGCTATGTCTACAAAACTGTGAACAATGCCAGCCAGAGTTTAATGCAGGTGTGGAAATCCAATCAACTATAACACAATGTTCACCTAGCTTCTACTCCTTAGATTTCAATGGTGAGTAAAGGTTACATAATATACACCTCATACTACTGGGAGTTTTATTAATCTTCCACCTGAAGCCTATGTCAATCCAACACTGCCGGGAATACTGAGCACTAATATGTTCACATAGACATGATGGACACTTGGGATACTCACCGTGCTGTAGACTGCAGAGACCGTGGGAGGGAAGATCCGATCCTCCAAAGGCTGTTGTACAGGTCCTCTAGGAATTCTGGAAGGCGAGTTAAGGAACAAACTCTAATGGAACTGCTGAGCAATAAGAACATTCTGCCCATGACCCAGGCTTTTTAACCCACCCTGTGGTACTGTGGACTTACTCCTCCCAAGCTCCCAAGAAACTGAAAAACCAAGTATTTAAATTTCCTAATATGATTACTCGATTTCTCCAAAATTGCTTCCTACAATAAACTTCCATTGCAAATGAAACCAATGACTGGAGGCCCCGAACCTTAGGCCCATTATGAGACTCAAGCACCTTCTAAAATTTCAGCCAGACCAGAGGTTCAGACAACACAGCGGAAGCAAGGCCAGCAGACGCACTGGCGCCTCAACTCCCAACACCTGCACAAAGGCTGCCTTCGTCTGACTGCTGAGAATGTTCCAGTCTTTTCTAGCTACACAGAGCAAGCTCAATTATTCCCATTTCCACTAGCTTCCCATTTTTATTTTTTGCCTTTATTTTATTTATTTTTTTGTTTTGTTTTTTTGAGACAGGATTTCTCTGTGTAGCCCTGACTCTCCTAGAACTCACTCTGTAGACCAGGATGGCCTCAAACTCAGAGATCCACTGCCCAGCAAGTTTCCCATTTTTAAAAACAGGTTCTCCAGCAGTCATTTAAAATATTCAGAACACAAAGGCATTAAAAGACAAGAGACTATAAACATTTTATTCAACTGCAAACTAGGAGACAGGAGCTGTCTAGCTGGTATGGCACTATTCTAGAGAACTCCTTATATGCCCTGACCAAAGCACTGTCCCTGAATGAGCCATTACATGCCTGATTATGTGCTTTCTACAACAGTTGCAGATGATACAAATGATTTGACTTCCACCTGGTTTTTGTTTTGTTTTTGAACTCCAACAATCCTGTAACCTGATTCCTGCTGACTGGTTTATTTTTTTTAAATTATTGTATCATAAATCCCAAATGAAAAAAATTCCCTCAACTTAAATACTTAATATTTCTTTCTAATTCACCTAGAGAGTTGGGAAGACAAGGTAAGAGCTACAGCAGGTGTGGTGACTTTCAGCTGTAATCCCAGCACTTGGGAGGCAGAGGCAAGAGGATCATTGAAAGTGTAAGGCCAGAATAGTCAACAGAATGAGTCCCAGGCCAGCCAGGGTCACACATTGACACTATTGTTTCAAAACGAAAGGGAAGATGGCTCAGGAGTAAAGAACACTAGCTGTTCTTACAGAGGCCCTGGGCTCAGTTCCCAACACCCACATGGTGGCTCACAGCCAGCCATCCTTTACTGCAGTTGCAGGGGATCTGATACCCTCTTCTGACTGCTACAGGCACCAGGAATGCACACGGTTTGCATACACACACATACATACCTACCTACACACACACACACACACACACACACACACACACACACACACACACACGCTCATACATATGAAATAAACAAATCTTTAAAATTATAGAGTGAAAAGGAAAAAAGTAGTGGGCTTTTTGTTTGTTTGTTTGTATTTTAAGAATGACTGTTAAGTTGCCAAAAACTGAATCATTAGTAGATTCTTTATTTCTAAGCAGCCAGCTTAGAAGACCGAAAACAAAACAAACACACCCTGTGTTTTAGTCATTAAAATGTCTAATGAGACTATAGCGGTCTCTAGACAGTTTTTAAACTAGCAACCTCACACAACAGTTAAATACTTTGCACACACGCACACGTGCACGCGCGCACACACACACATACACACACACCTGCTGCACTGGAAAGCGATAGAGCTGAAACATTTCATAAAGGAACCACACACCATATACATCACTCAATCCACACACACCCTCCACACCCACCACACACATACTCTACACAAACCACATAAGCATTTCATGCACACACAATTTAAAGCCACAATCTACCCATACACAACTCACACATACACACACTGCATACATACATGGCACATACACTCTACACCTAGCACACTATACATATACACTACATACATACATACCACACACACTGCAGAAAGCAGAAGCCTACCAAGTTCCAGTCATTATGACTCTTTTAGACTGAAGGACGGTTAACTGAAATCCACACTGAACGAACTCCACAGTACTCGAGGCAGATGGAAAAGGAGCCACACTTTCTACTGCACTGCCAACTGCACTGCTTTTTCCAGGAAGGATTAATTCTCACAATGGGAGAAGCAGTCCTCAAGGGAGTTCAGTGTTCTGCCTGAGAACCTGAGCTACTCAAGACTCCTGCTTTCTGTTCATCTGCTAGCTAATCAGATGACTATGATTACAAGATTGCTAGAGACATCATTTGCCCACATTACAGGAACAAGCATAAATAGCTCAGCACACACTAGTCTCACACAGAAACTGAGTTCAGTTCCCAGCACTCATATCAGGCAGACCACAACCACCTCTACTCCATCTCCAGAGGCCTCCTACAAGCAGGCATGCACAAAATAAATAAATAAACAAGCAAACAAATAGTGAAATTAATTTAAGCTGAAAATCTAAAAACTCCAAATAGGGTGCTAGAGAGATGGCTCAGGGGTTAAGAGACTGCTCTTCCAGAGGACCCAGGTTCAATTCCCAGCACCCACAGGGCAGCTCACAACTGTCTATAGCTCCAGTTTCAGGAGATCCAGCACACTGACACAGACATACATGCAGGCAAAACACGAATGCTCATAAAGTAAAAATAAATTATTATTTTAAAAAACCTCCAAACAGGTATTTTATTAACTCCCAGTTAGGCTGCTGTTTAGACCTCCTCTCCACTTAAAACCCTGAGAGGGTCAGCTGGAGATAAGGGAGAACTGGTGAGTTCTGGAAGGAGACAGTAAATGCTTTTAGAGCTCACTGGATTCCACCTGCCTGCAGCTGAGTGCCAGCTCTCACACAGTTATGTCCCCAGCAAAACTCACAGGCAAAACTCATATCCCTTTAAACTGAAAGTAAAAAGCAAATATTTTCTAATTTTCTCAAGATAGGTTTATTTGTACTTGTGAGTACAAACCCGGTATGTGTGGGATCCCCCTGAGGCCAGGACAACACAGATCCCTGGAAAGCCAGGCACTTTGTGAACTGGCAAACCAAGGTACTGGGGCCATACTCAGGCCTTTGGCGGCGGCGGCGGCGGCCTGTGTTCTCATTATGAGCCCACTCGTCAGTCCCTTTACTGGTTTCTTAGCCTGAACTGCTATGATGAAATGTTTTATAATTGTAAATCAATGTGACTAAGCCAACTCTGAGTGCAACTGACCAAACAGCTGCAAACCCCACCTGTACTAGTTATTACTTTATTTAAGTCCATTAATCTGTAATCTACATAGAGAGCTACAGGGGCAACAAGATGTCTTTGGAAGGGTAAGAAATTTTTTTGGTTTGATTTGAGATTATCTGGTTTGCTAAACTAGAAATCTATGTAGCCCAGGCTAGACTGGACATGAAATCCTCCTGCCTCCATCTCTCCAGTACCAGAATTACACATGTGTACCACAATGGCCAGGTATATGTGTTCTTAGGTAAGACCAATATATAAACAGTCCTTTACATATAACTCCCAGCTTATCACACAAAATATTAAAAAGATGGTATATGCTCAAGGCAGGGTTTATTAATATTAGTAGCTTTTGCCATTTCATCAAAGACATTAATTCTAAGAACTTGGTGAGGAGGTACACACTTGAAATCCCAGCAATCAAAAGGCTAAGGCAAGAGGATTATAAATTGCTCTAGGCACAGCAAGACCATGATTCAAAAATCAAAAGGCAAGCAGGGTGTGGTAGTGCATACTTTAACCCCAGCACTCTGGAGGCAGAAGCAAAATGATTTCTAGGACAGCCAGAGTTATGGAAAGAGACCCTGTCTCATCCTGTCTCAAAAAATGGGAGGGAGATACGCACAACTACAATGACACAACACTGGAGAAATGTCACACAACCATGAAAACCTGAACACTGACCCTCAGCAACTTGCTGAACAGCCAAGTTTAGCAAGTGGGAGCCTGGAATCCCAGAGATGAAAGAAAGGCAGACAGACACAAGAGGCTCCTTGGGGCTCCTTGTCATTAGACTAGCCACATCAAGGGAGTTGCAACTGGTGAGAGACTCTGCCTCAAAAACGAAGGGAAAAGTGAGTCAAGAAGAGAGCTGGCATCAGTCTCTCACCCTCACACCTGTACACACATGGCACACATGTACATATACACATACATACATCCACACACAAGTTAAGTGAAAAGCCAAGACTGTCTTCTTGCTGCTGCTAGTGCTGCTCTCTTTTTGGAGAATGCATGCTGTTAAGTCACATCATCACTAACATAGCGTGGTGCCTACTGCCTTGATAGGACCTGAGGTGCCGACCTTTGATTTGGACCATTAAGTAAAACTATTGGGAAAAGGAAAAGTGACAAAGAAAATCTTACAATACTCACTGAAACAGTTCAGACCCTGTCTCTGCACAGCAGACAGGCTGCTTAGGAAATTCCTGTTTTCCCAAGGCCCAAGGGCCAGAGCCACAAACCTAGGGTCACGAATCTCCAAGTCCAGAAAAACCTAGGTGAGGAGGCCAAAAGCACATTGCTCCATAAAGAAAAGCATCAGAGGCCCCCTCAATGGTACCATGCCACATTAACTCAAAAATGGTCACCCAATGAGGTCATCAAACAAAATCCAAAGGGCTTTTCATTCACAGTGACAGAGAACCACTGTACATTTGAGGAATGAAGTATGATTACTCAATAATGCTCTTTATGGAAAAAGGACGAATTGATGTCCCTGGAGTGTTCCACAGAAGGCACATGCAGTAGACAAAGTAGCAACAGTTGAGTGGCTTTCTGCTGTTTGCTGGGGCAGCCCCTCTATGGCAGCCTCTGGGCCCACAGACACACCATTCTTCACCTGAACCCTTGGGATCTTCCCTCCACTCAGAAGGGTGACAGTTCAAGTCACTAACAAAACAAAGACTCCTCCTCACTCTCTCCATCCCCTGCTTCCCACCCCTCTTCCTCTTCTTT